TATTCTTCCCAAGGACATAATGATCCCACACCTTATCTTTCTCAACCCCATTGATACTGGAGCTGAATTCCAATCACCACAATCACAATATGTCGATAGGGCCTCATCTATATCCTTTCATCCCTAGCGTCATGCAGACACCACTTCTCGATCATTGGAAGTCTCTCCCCTTACACAAGTATGACAACACCATGGACCTCGACGAGCACATTGACGTTTTACTCACTTAGGTCACATTGAGCATAATTGATGATGCAACTTTATGTCGCATTTTCTGTACCTCTCTAAAAGAAAGAGCCCTAAGTTGGTTCACTCTTCTCCTGCCTAAGACATACTTGCTTCTTTATTTTCTATTCAGTTTGTCATTAGCTGACCTAACTAACTGGTATACTTAACATTAATGAACATTCGAGAAGACAATAGAGAAACCATCTATGCCTTTATGGACAGATTCAACAAGGTGGTGTTGAAAATTAAAGACCTTAACCCAACAGTTTCCTTACATCGCCTCATAGTAGCCTTAAGGCCTAGACCTTTCATCAACAACCTCTATAAGAAACCATCGATCAACTTGGATTTGGTGTTGCAACGACAAATATATTTGGATGAAGGAGTTATCATACTTTTGTAATCAAGCTCGAGCTAAGACATCTGTCATCAAAGGCGATAAACATGTGGGTAACTCCTTCAAAGGTTAAGGAAAAGAGTTGGTATCATGCGAATGGTTTGTAAGTGCATCGTGCATGCACATAGGTCTCAACATCTCTAAAAATCGAATTATCCAAAGCAATCAAATTGTGTGATTACTACATTTGTTATGGTCTAAGTCCACTTATCCATTTACACGCCTACCCTATTCATGATGTCTTCACCAATCTTAGTAACCAAGGCATTGAGATGGATAACACGGTTATAAATTGCAACCCTCGTAAAATGGGTTATGTGAATAACAAAGGGAATAAACAAGGTTAAGAGATTAACATATCATTAGTTGTTGTATTACCTAATTGGTAATCAGGAACCAAAACCCACCAAATTCAAGTCCATTATGGTCAGTATAATTAGTTAACTAAATAGAGGTAAAATTATTGTTCATTTATTACTCTCCTAGATATTTGAGTCTGACCTTACTTGAGCGTTAGTGTACTTTTTGTTGGCACTCTACCCTTAAATTTGTTAACTAACAAGGAGTTTAGAGATTTCAACATCAAAGATTCACTAGTGTACCCTTGGACAGATACAAAATCATTATCCACTTTATAAACAACATACAACCTAGTTAGATCCCACCTTGCGTAGTGATGTTGTAACACATCCACCTTTAATAAAAGCTACATACAACCTCTCATAATCAACTATCATACAACAACATCTTCCACAAGAAACAAACACATATGGAGTTTAACTAATCCTATTAAGCTAATATTTATCTCATACGGAAGTTAAGAAGATTATCTACAACTTTTATGTTGACCAATAATTTAATTAAAACATTTATACTAAAAATTTTAAAAAAAATTGCAATAATTTTGCCTTATGCTAATATCTATATTCACTAAAAAGGTCATAACTTGAGTTCTAAGCCTCTTTTTTGGTTGATTTTAAAGCCATTAGAAAACTAACATCTAGGGATACAACTTTCATAAAAACCATAAAGCCTAATTCAATCATCTTCTATTCACTAAACGACTATTTTCTCATTGAGCAAATTGAACATTCTATGGCTCCTCCCAAAGTGACCAAAACTCATTGCTAAACGAAAATATGAAAACTAGATTGGTGTTCTTTATCTATGATGAGCGCTGAGTGATCATACACTTCTAACTAAGCAAGAATGCGTTGTTCCTCTATGAAAATCACCTTCTATTAACAAAATCTAGCTAACCACCTCAAAATCAACACATGTATCCCATTATTCTTCTTCTCCACACTTCATACAACTTGAAATTCCTCAAAAACATTGTAACGACCCACCCTAGGCCGTCACATCAATAACCAACCAAAATAAAATAATATAAAATAAAGAAAATAGAGCAAAAGCCAGCTACGCTAGAGTGTAATTATACAATAACATATAAATTGTTTCCAAAATATATAATATAATCTTCTATAGCAGAGTCATCATCCTTAGTAAAGTTATACAGTAATCCAAAAAGATAATATAATTACAATGTCATGAAAACATCAAAATAAGACACCCTAGGTGCTGGTCAAGCTCTAAACCTAGCCACTTCTCAAAGCAGCTATCCAAAAGACTCCTTGTTATCCCAAAGCCTCATACCTGATCTGCTCCCCCACATAGTGAGATCATCACAGTCCACATCATGGAAATATAAGGGTTAGCACATATAAAACCAATCATAGTACATCATAATAAAATATCATTAAACAAATATTTATCCACAGTATTTATCATATTTTTAAGTTTTGAGTTCTGAATTATAACAATATAAAAATAAAACAATTTTTTAAATCACTTATTTTCTTTTCAAGTTAAACATAAAAAATTAAATAAAAGATGTCAGTTCAAATGATTTAATATTTTTATTTTTTAATTAAGGATAAAAATTCAATCTCTATTTAGGATATCCAATCTCGATCGAATTTATCACTTTATTTTTATAAATGTTTACTTAGCAAGAAAGAGTTATATATTTTTTTTTATCAATCATGAAAAAAAAATCTCTTTCCCCCCTTAAAATTTTTCTCTTTTCTTTCTAAACTATTTAGATAAATTTATTTTTTTTACACTTTTAGAATATAAGAATAAAACAAAAGTTCTTCATAAGTTAAAATTAACTTATATACAAATTAAAAATAACTTTTCAGAGATACTAATATGAGATAAAATTTTCAAATTAATTTAAGTATAAACAAATTTTAACTTATGAAAATATTTATTACCTTTGTCCTTGTATATAAGGTTATTTTTACATTTTTGTTTGTCCCTTTTTTATAAAACTCTCTCTTAATTGCCCGTTGCAATAATAATTTTTCTCTAAATTATTTTTATTTAATTAACAATTTTTTAGACAAAAAATAACAAATACTTAAAATTAGTTGGATAAAGCTCTACTCTTTTATTATTATGATCGGATAAGATAAATAGACACATAAACTCATCTTATCTAGTTTGACATTATTCTTTTTTTAAACATTAATTATTTAGGTGAAAAATAATTACATAAAATGATAAAAGGCTAATTTAAAAGATGCTAAGAATAATTTTAAAAAAAATTAAATTATTGACAAATTTAATATAATTAACAAAATTAGCTAATTTTTAAAAGGTATAATTTAATTAAAAAAATCTTATAATTATAAATTAAGGTAGTAGTTTATTTTTCTTTCTTTTTTTTTTTTTCTTCTAAAAATGCAAAAAGTTTATACAAATGTATCCTTAATTAGACATATGTCTAATCAATATCATTTTCTTCTTCCGTTACTTCCTTCATTTCATCTTTTGATTGTAACCTTTTTTTTCAAAATTATTTTTTAAAGTTAGATGAAAACACATAAAAGGGGGTTAAATATGTGTGTGTGAATAACAGAATTTTAAAAACGTTTTCGCAAAGAAGCTCTTTTTCGTCCAATACAAATGTTATTTAGTGAGTATTCTCGACCACTCCTGGTCCCAAGTATTATCAACCACTCCTGGTTGGCTATTAGTACTAGTATTCTTTGTTCAACCTCTTCAAACTCTCAGTGAGGATTGTCGACCACTCCTGACCCTCTAACTTCACTCATTAGCGCTAGTATTCTTTATTCAGCCACTTCTGCCTCGCAGTGAGTATTCTTTGACAAGCCTCTCCAGGCTTTTACAAGTATTATTTCCCTAACCTCTTCAGACTTTACAAATGATAGATAGATGATTTGGTTTGAGTGTTTCACATGCAACAACTAACAAACTGAAAATTATCAATCCACCTTCAACCTTCAAAACCTCCAAACCCAATAACATGTAATTCATCCATTTTCAACATAAAGGCCACCAATGGGCAAAACAACATAACAATCAATGCATACAACACAAAAAAAAATTAATCTACATGTTTCTCTTACCTTAATCGCTTCCAAATCCAAGAAACTCAATAGGGAAAGGGTAACTAGGGACTTCTAAGTGAAAACTTCTCTTTACAAGTCCAAAATTTATAGCTTGAATCTCGACCTCTACAACTCATATTATTGATTAAGAGAAATAAAGAGGTTTTTTAACGAAATCAAATGGAGACTAATCTATATCGGGGTTTGACAAGCATCAGGTAGGTAAATATCCCCTCCTAACGTGATTTTTTGCATTCAAAGAAGAAAGTATTCGACCATTAGCCATTTGATTGAGCAAGTGAGCCCTCGTCACCCGCATCAACCCAAATTGGTAAAGGGATATAAATATTAATAGAAGAGAGAAATAATATAAAATAATTTCTAAAAAATTAAACAAAACATATTTATTATTTTAAACTTGATTAACTATCTTTTTAATAATATTCACTATTAATACAAATTAGGTAGTTATTGGATGAAATATACTTTCAATATTAAAAAAGAAAGAAATAAAAATGAGATATTGATTTTTTTAATAACATTGTTATTAATACAAAATATTCACTATCTTTATATATGACTATTTTCTGTCAAAAAATGATTAATTCACCTTTAGTTGAGTCTTCTCTCTTAACTACATTTTTTATATATACTAAATGGGTGAAGTCACTTCATATCTCTAGTAATTATATAAAAACATAAAAGATTATGAGTAATTCTTCAGAGAAAATATAATTTTTTTATATCATAAGGGTATTTAGAGGGAATTTAAATTTTTACTTAAAAGATGGATTTCAATCTCATTCTAACCGACTTGGGATAAGTATGGAATATTGATTTGGTTTCTCCGTTGGGTTTGAAATTGACGTTCTTACCCTTGAATTGATGGAATTTTGGACGAGGAACGCGTGGGGCTTTTTGTCTTTTGAAGCATAAACGCGGCAACAATAACGTAAGCGAGTAGGAAGAGAAGGTTTTATTCGTTTGTGGCACTTCCACTTTCTTCCTCTTCTCTCACTCCCAAACACCATTCACTTTCTCTCCTCTACTCGGTACGTCTTTCCCCTCTCTCTCTCTCTCTTTCAATTACCCTTTTTTTTCAGTCACTCCAATTTCTCTCCTTTCCCCCTTGCCTCCAATCTGAAGAAAATAAGGCATGTTCAAGGGTTGATGTTGGATTCCCTTTAACTTCTTTTCCACCACCAATTCTCCCTGTTTACAATTCTACTTTTCATTTTTTCCCCTTCTATTTGTTATTTTGGTGTTTCTATTGCAATTTCTATCATCGTGCCATGTTGCCACTAGGTTATGATTTATGTGTTGGAGTTAGACAAGTAATCTGTATGCATGTAAATATAAATCAGAAACTAAATAATTATTTTATAATTTAAGTCCTTTTTTGTTAACCTAATCGGTGCTTAGTATAAATTGAAACTTGAATAGATGACCTATGTCGTCATATACGAAAGCCTCCTCTTCCTTTTGCATGTGCGTGTATGGAAATGTAAGTGTTGTTTATTTATTTATTTGAAATTGTCTGGTGTTCTGAAGGTTTAGACTTAGATTGATTTTACCGCAATGGGTATTAACTGTATGTAATTGTGCTGCTTGGAGTCTCCTTTTTTGTTTGATTGGATTATGAATTGTAAAATTCTGGTTTTAGAATAGTTTATGGCTTTATCTTACCTTAGTGAATAAGTGGTTAATCAATCTGGTCATGGGTATGAGGTGAAAGGGAGAGGGGTTAAAAAATGATGATGATGGGGAAGATGTGTATGAAGTGGGAGTCAAGAGGGTAGCAAAATGGAAAATGACTATCACAGAGATAGGTCACGGGAGGATTTATTAAGGGTATTCTTAATTTAGTTACTCCTTCTAGAAAAATGTGCTTATTTTATTCAAACTCCTTGCAGCAGTGCACTGCCACGTCCAGTTCCCTTCTGTGTGTTCCTTTCTTCTAGTCTCTCAACCGTGACAAAACGAAGCTCCTTTCAGAATTTTCTGTCAAGTGTTGTTGCTTCTTCCCCCAAACTCAGCCAAATATTTCTCGCAACAAGTCATCCATGAACTTGTTGAACAAACTCGTTGGGCTGGGTAGTCCAAGGGCATCAGAAAACACGAATTCAACTGCTGCTCGAGGACCAGATGATGACATACCAGCACCAGGTCAACAGTTTGCCCAGTTTGGTGCTGGCTGCTTTTGGGGTGTTGAGCTGGCCTTCCAGAGGGCATCGGGGGTGACCAAGACGGAAGTTGGTTATAGCCAGGGGAATTTACATAATCCAAGCTATGAGGATGTGTGTTCAGGGACCACACACCACTCGGAGGTTGTAAGGGTTCAATATGATCCCAAAGAGTGTAGCTTCGAGACTTTGCTTGATGTGTTCTGGTCTAGACACGATCCTACTACACTGAATCGACAGGTAAATATGAAGTTTTTTTTAGTCATAATGTAAACTTTGTCATGTTTTATTGTATTGGTCTTCTTATTAATACCATGTTCTTACTGTTTTATCTCTCATATTCAGACTTAGATGATCTGAATTTCAAGTTTGGGTTTGTAGGTTATGAAGTAAACTTTCTTTAGATTTATTTGACGACTCCTTACTTATAAGAGTTCATCACTTGTAATATTTTCTTTTTGCGTCATGGTTAATTTGTCTTAAGGTGATGCTAATTCTTTATGTTGCCTAATAGATGCATTTATGTTGAAACATCCTGTGAGGTATTGTTTTGTGAATTCTATTCTGATAAGTTCTCCGCACTCTGCAGTATTGGGTTAAATCAAATTAGTGGGGAATCTCTAGATGTTTGTGTCCATTACTAATTTTTAAGCTGTTTGCCCCCTTTGCTCTGCTAATTGTGGGATGTTTCTACTCTGAAGTATTTGGCTATGTAATTCGTTCCACTTTTACAAACCATTACACCATACATCTGTTACTTCAAAGTTCACACGTTATTACAAGAGTGCTCAACCTATTACATTTTCAGAGTTCATTGCGAATACTAATTTTTGCTTGTGTTTATAATGTGATACTAGCTGCTAAATTAGTTCCTAGACTTCTACTGATTGTAGATATTACTTCACAAACAAGTATGCCCTTACCTAGTCCATTTTTCATTTTAATATGATTCTTCCTTGAAAAGAAAAACAAGCTTTTAATTGTTTATTAGTCGGGCAATTTACATAATTTTATGTTGAACATCAGGGCCTCTGGTAAATTGTGAACCCGATATATAGAAAAAACAGTTTGATATGGAATGATCTATTTCTTTTAAGGCAACTTACATGCAAATCCTTAGGTGCTTTCGGTGTCATTCTCCTATCAGAATAGGAGTTCTCACCCCAGTAACCTATGCAATACAAACCTTTATTCTGATTTTCCATTCTTTTAGTACATTTTTTACTTGTCTTTTTTGCGTTATTTCTGTTCAAAACATTGCTTTTTAAATTCTCTCTTTTCAACACACCACTTCTGTTCATTCTCTTCCTTGAAAAGAAAAACAAGCTTTTAATTGTTTATTAGTCGGGCAATTTACATATTTTTATGTTGAACTTCAGGGCCTCTGGTAAATTGCGAACCCGATATATAGAAAAAACAGTTTGGTATGGAATGATCTATTTCTTTTAAGGCAACTTACATGCAAATCCTTAGGTGCTTTCGGTGTCATTCTCCTATCAGAATAGGAGTTCTCACCCCAGTAACCTATGCAATACAAACCTTTATTCTGATTTTCCATTCTTTTAGTACATTTTTTACTTGTCTTTTTTGCGTTATTTCTGTTCAAAACATTGCTTTTTAAATTCGCTCTTTTCAACACACCACTTCTGTTCATTCTCTTCGTCAAATGCATGCATCTGTGAACTTTGAAATATATGTTGACAACCTGTGATCTGCAAGTGCCGATGCAGCCTGCAGTTTGCTGTTGCATCATGCGGCTTTGGTGCTAAGTAACAAGTTTGATCTTCCTGTGTCGCAGGGTAATGATGTGGGAACACAATATAGGTCTGGAATATACTATTACACACCTGAACAAGAGAAGGAAGCCAGAGAGTCTTTGGAACAACGACAGAAGAAGCTGAACAGGAAGATTGTTACTGAGATTCTTCCTGCCAAGAAGTTCTACAGGGCAGAAGAATACCATCAACAGTACCTTGAGAAAGGGGGGAGATTTGGTTCCAAGCAATCTGCTTCTAAGGGATGCAATGATCCAATTCGGTGCTATGGTTAGTTTAATATGAGGATTGGATCTGAGGTTCTAAATGACTGGTTTAGATGTTAAAAGTAGAGAGTTTTGTTGACAAGTATTTGTGAATATATCAATAAAGCTTAGTCACGCTCTACCTACTCTGTTTTACTAATAGGGTGAAGATCACTATAGAATTAGAATCTGTTCTAGAGTTATCTAGTATTTTGTATGTATAGTTTTCTAATAACTGTTTTTATAATACCTTTAATTAGTGGCACTTCTTGAGTTACAATATCTTTATTTTGTTGAGTTAAGGTATCCAAGAGATAGGTTTTGTGAACTGATTAGTCAACATCATTTATGTAAATTAAATTAATTAGTCAACATCATTTATGTAAATTAAATTAATTAGTCAACATCATTTATGCAAATTAAATTAATAAGTAATTATCATGCAGTATTATTTTGCGTGTGTGAAAAAACTCTGGTAGGCATTACTTTGTTTCTTTTTTCCAAACTCTAATTTATGTAGCAGCATTAAGTAAATATTTTTTTTTTATTATTCAACACAATAGTGTTGAACCAACAATTTATTTACAATTACAGCGTAATAGGCATGCTTTTATTTTCATTACATTTTATCGTGATTCTACCTTGTTTGATCAATTATTACACAATGTATTTGTTGTTTAGTCAGATACCTATACATTTTTAACTGCCTTGCCAGTACTAAGTTTTCCCATAAAACTTTAGCAGGTAAAAACACTGATTTTCATTGAATGCATAAAGCATGGCCCTAGGTAGAAGCAGCACTAGGCACTTGCACAGCTGCTACCATTGGCTATGCTGCTTCCAAAGTGTCTTGCATATTGCATTTTCTCTCATCCTCCTGTTCTTCCATTCTTTACATCAAATTAAGAAAAAGTTTATATATATGGAACATGTAACGAAAATAATTCATTTTAAAAATTATGTATCTCAATTGTAAAATCATCATATAATCATATACACGTTGGAAGATCAAGATTAAAAGTTAGTTAGTAATCATATGATTACTTGAAAAAGTCGTGTGCTTTATCTTTGAATCATAATTATTTAAATAAATGGTTTTATACATTTAACAGTCAGATATTGCTGTTGGTATAATTATTTATTTATTTATTATAAAACTCAACAATTTACCATTAAATGATAGTATAAAATTACTTTATAATGATGCATTACCTATTTTTTCTTAAATAAAATCTAATAACTAATATTTACTTCTCATTTTTATAATAACTCAATGTTTTGAGTTAATTAATATTAATATATGTATAAAAGAGCACTGAAACTGATAAATCGACAGTTGGTGTCTTCCCTTGTTTAACTTTTGTTTGTGGACCTTGGGTGTTTGTCCCTTTACATAGTACCTTTGATGGATTTGGGCTTCTAGCTTCTTTCATTCAGCTGCTACCCTACCATGGGGTATATATAATTCTCATAGTACAAATTACTTTCGAATTCTGAAATGATATTTTCGTTGAATAATAAAGTGATCGTTTGTCTTTTTTTGGATAATTTACAAATAAATAATTATAAGAATAAAATTGAATATAAAATGTGCACACCAAACAAATTTTTTCACCTTTAATATCGTTATAGATTATTAATTTTCTCATTAATAAATAAAATATTTTTCTTTCTACAATAATTGTTCATCCTGCTTAATTAGTTTAAGAGTTTAATAGATATGGACAAGAATATTTTACAGTCAACTAATTAAAAAATCAGTTTTATGTAACTTTTAGTATGAATATTAGAAAATGTGCATACCAAAACAAAAGTGTGGAATCTGTAATCAATTATTTTACTACACAGGTCATTACGACTTTAGGAGGCTTAAAAAAATAAATGACTTGTTTAATACATTAATATATTTTTATTAACTTCTAACTTATTTTCATTAGCTACTCGAAGTAATTTATGAAAATAACTAATAATCTACTTATATTTTTTATTATAATTTTTTATCAATTTATTTTTTAAAAATTTAATCTCAAATGATTAAGTATGTCCTTTCATGCCATTTACATTTATTAGTTACTTGTTGAAAATTTTAATCCTTGTTTTAATATTTTTTTATTCTTTATGTGGAAGCCAATTTTTTTTTATAGGTCTATGAGTTTATTTGAATGCAAGTTAGAAATATTTCTTTTAGATTTTTTTTCTAGTGATAAAAAAATTCATTATTTTTAATAAAAAAAACTCTAAAAAATATTTATAAACTTGTATTCAAATAAATTCTATATCTTATAAAATTCACCCAAAACTTTAGAATTTATATCATGTTTGATTATTATGAATTAGAACAAATACTTATATAGTTGTTGAGTCTTGATCTAAATATTATTCAAAAATTGTTTTGAAATCTTTGTGATGATTAATCACAAAAATGAATACAAACAAAGGTAATAGGTGGCTTTATAATTCTTCCTCAAATTGTATCTCTTGAATTATTAATAAATATTTTAGCTTTTCTTTTGAGGGGGTGAGGACGGCAACTCAATATATTGTTGACCATAGAACATAAATAAAAACTTTCATTATATTAACCCAACCTTAGTGACCACCCATACGGTTAACATGGCCATAAAAAATCTTAGTGTCAAACTTTTGATTAGTGGACCAACTAGCATAGAATTTATCTATATATTTTATGAGAATTTATTTGTGTTGAGTTCTTTCCTTCAATAATGAACATTTATGTCAATAGACTTTGTAATAAATTATGGATTGTTAATAAAATATGATGTGTTTGATTCATTTGTTACTATGTAACTTAAGTGATATTTCATTACATTTTAGTATGTGCAACCAAGTAACATAAATACTTCAACCATATCCTATGCTCAAATGTGGGATGCCCACTATATTGACATCAAAAAAATTGGAGTGAGAGTTCTTGATGATCTTTAAATTGTCATATCTTTAATATATGAGCACATGTACTTTTATTCTTTTTAATAATTATAATGATTATTTTTTTGATTCATAGTAGAATTGCTCAAGTATCTTCTAAATGATCATATTCTGTATGTTATTTTAGGTGAAACATATGGAACATATGCATTTTGAGAATTTTTAAATTCTTTCGAGCAATAATAAAGGCTAAAATTATTTCTCTTATGGTGTGTTTGAATGAAAAATTTTAGAAATTCAAAGAATTTTAAACTTTTAAATTTTAAATTACTTTAATTCCAATTGCTATCATTCTTTAAATATTTTATCTGGACAAGTTAATTCAATTTTTTTAAAATTTTAAATTCCTATTATTGATAGGGCAATTTAATTTTCACTATTGATAAAATTTATTTTAATATATATATATATATTAATATATAGTTAATGGTTTTTTAAAAAATAGTATTAGATATTATTTAATAATTTAAAAAATAATTTTAAATATTTAATAACTAAAGAAAATTATTGATATTTTTTATGTCAACTTTGAAATAGAGAAGATGGGAGTAAAATATTGAATTATATAAATTCACTCCCATTGAATTAGTTATATTTACAAATTATATAAATTCACTCCATTGAATTAGTTATATTTACAATTGTCTACAATATTTGTCACGAGGCAAAATGAGACAATCATTTAATGAGATTGTGATATGACTTGAAAGATAATTTCTTTTAGCCAATACATGAATTTTATTGTTATACAAACCTATTATGTGGATCTCTAAACACAGCTTTTCAATTACACTTTATATATTTCATCTATGTTTCCATTAACAAGAAACACCATCTTGACATCCATCTTATGTGGCTTTGAATAATAATAAACAATGAGACTCATGATTTTCCTAAAAGAGTCCTTTGATATTATCGACAAAAGTATCTCTTTAAAATATCTCTTTATAGTTAATTCTTTTGATTAAGTACAATCTATAATGACTAGACAAATCTTATTCCTCTTTATATTACACTATCAAATAACATAAGAATTTCCAAATCTTATTGTCTAGTGTAGACTTATCTTGTCACTTATTAATTTAATTCACTATTTTGAATTCGAACTTTCCATGATTTGTTAAAACTGGTTAAATACACTTTGATATCGATATCATTGTTGAAAATTTTAATTTTTATTTCAATATTCGTTATTTTTATGAGAAAACCATTTTATTACAAATCTATATGATAGAATAATTCACTAAAATCCCTATGATTTTCAACATAATTGATTATTAAGATTAAAATGAATATTTAGATTCATTGTCATTTTCGATTTGAGTGTTCTTCGTAATTATTTTGAAATGTTTACGGTAGTTAATCATGAACATATGGATGAAGGTAACCAGACACTATACTTTATTTATTTATTTATTTATTTTTCAGGTAGAGAAAAAAGGAGTATGAGTTTTCAAAGATTTGGTATATTAGATACCATAACTTTTTTACAATTAAAGGGTTAACCAACTTCATTATAATTACATCTATTCATTTAAACTCATATTTTATTTAGTAGCTGAACATACTCATTTATGATTGTTTTACAATATTAGCTCACATTAATTATTTATTAAAATATAAAATTTCAACACTAGTTTATAAATATTTTAAATTTATTAATAAAAATTTGATAAGTTTTCAAATTTTTAACTCTTAACTTAGCGTAAAAAAAAACTCCTAACTTATAATTTATAAATTCAGTTAATTTATAAACTAATTTGACTAAACATCCATTAATAAAAATGAAGGTTGTATGATATTGTTATTGGCAGCATGTGTCTTCCTTCCGACATACATATATGTTGCAATAATAAAACACACCATTGGTTTTCGTTATGTTCATATAATAAGTCAACAGTTCCTAAAGGACACTCCCTCCCTTTTAGGATCTGAAGCAACTAAATATTGTTAAAAATGAAGTCTACAAATCTCTTACCATCACTCAATAACTACTCTATCACCTATTCATCAATTTGCATTCATTAGTCTTCATTAAATCTGTCTTCATCTAACAAATTAAATCGTTACTATGAACTTATAGCATTTATATACTAATATATATGCACTTATATTTTTTTTCCTATATTACATGGATTAATTTTCACTAGATCAATTTTGTTCAAGTAGAATAGAAACATTTATAGTTTATATATGAATATTTAATACAATTATATTTATAAGATTTAAATTTGAGATATTAATTAAGTTGAAACAATCTCATATTAGTTAATTACATGCTTGATTGGTGGTAAATTAACATATGGGAGAAACTAATTGCAGGAAATAATTTTGATTAAAGGAAAAATGATATTCTTATAATAATTTATATAATTGTAAGAGAGAAAAATATAGAAAACAAAGAGAAATTTAAAATATAAAAATGATATGATAGATTTATATA